CTCGAGGGTGCCTGACATGGAAGGACTGAGCACGCCAGGGATGGGGACCCTTGGGGAGGTGACGTTAGCGGTCAGTGGCAAAGAGTTACTGCAATGGTCTGAAAGCGGAGAAGAGACTGCAAGACTATTTTTAGGAAAGTATGGCAGAACGTGGAAGAGATGTGTCCACTCGGAGCACGGGAATATGGCAGAACGTGGAGGAGATGTGTCCACTCGGCACGGGAATATGGCAGAACGTGGAGGAGATGTGTCCACTCGGCACGGGAATATGGCAGAACGTGGAGAAGATGTGTTCACTCGGAGCACGGGAATATGGCAGAATGTGGAGGAAATGTGTGCACTCGGAGCACGGGAATATGGCAGAACGTGGAGGAGATGTGTTCACTCGGAGCACGGAAATATGGCAGAACGTGGAGGAGATGTGTGCACTCGGAGCATGGGAAGGCTGAAATGCCAAACAGTTCTCTTGGCTAAATTTAGCAGAAGTGCTCTTTATTTAAGAACTATAGTAGCAAATATATAATGCAGGAGACGTATGGACCACTTTGCTTGGTGTGTCCACCCAGCACAGGGTGCCTGCGTGTCACTGACGCTGCTGTTCTTCGGCAGGGCGGCGCAGCAGCAGGCCGGGTGCAGAATCTTATGTGGTGACTGAGTCGCGGGTGGTGGCCATGGAGTGGGGACAGCCCTGGGGTCCTTCTAGATTCATCTGGGAGACTCCCAATAACAGGGAAAAGGAGACCACCCTGGGCCCACGAGACTTGTCATGGGTGCTCATTTCTAGCGCTTTTCATGTTTTGCCAACTCTCAGCATCCCTGGGAGATCAGAGAGACGGGAACACTGGGCAGCGGGTGGCACACTGAGGCAGGGAGGCTGGCCAGGGAGTGCTCTGACCAGAAGCCTCCAGACAGCCGTCGGTGGAGGAAGGAGGTCAGGATACCAGGGTCCACCCGATGGGCCCCAGTAGGAGCCACTGGGTCAGGAGAGTCCCCGGGTCTGGGGCATGATGGGTCGGGGGCCTGGGGGGGGCAGGTGACCAGGCAGACGGCACCAGGTGGAACGACCGCCCGCCTGAGGCTGAGACCTTGATGCCAGGAAAGCCTCTTCGGCTCGGGAGACCCGTAGGCTCCCATGATAAGGGTGGGGGCAGCAAGAGGGGCTCGTGGTCTCCGGCTGCCCTGCTCTCCCCGCAGGCTTCAGCAGGCTGGGACAAGGCAAAAGGGGGAGAGGAGCTGCCGGTGTGGCCCCCGTGGGTCTGGGGTTGGCAGGGGGTCCTGAAAGCCTCTTAATGGGATTAAACCCTTTATCCAAGGATTGAAAGAAAAAAGGCCTAAGACGAAGATGTGCACACCTGAGGCAGGTTTTGCTGGGAGAGCGACACAGACTGGGGAGACATTGCTTTATGGAAAGCGGGATGTGGTGACGGGGCGCCCCGAGCCGAGCCTGGCTGGCGTCAGGGTTTCACTGCACCAGGACACGCAGGCCTGTGCCACCGCCACCCCCCCTCCATGACTCTGCGGGCTCCCATGGTCCAAACGAGGAGCAGCTTCGCAATCACGGCTCCCGCGTCGTCCAAGGGGTCCTCTGGGGTCTTCAAACTCTTTTTTCCTTCACGGGACTCCCATTCCCAACTGCTTTGTCTCTCAGTTCCCTCACTGTATGTGGCTTTTGTGGAAGCTAATTTTTTCCCTTGAATTTAATTAATTTTGAAACCAACAAAGGTTGCACACACAGCGCCCAGGGCAGAGTTTGGCTGCACGAGCACAGGAAATCCAATTAAAATCGTAAAACTGGGAAGAAAGAGAGTGGCTGATGAGATGAAGAATGACGTGGAAGCAGGAGGCCCCGTGGATCGAGGGGCCGCTCCCTCCCTCCCCCCGGGGAAGACCGTCCCGGCCTCACTCCGGGCTGCGGTTTTCATCTTCCAAGCGACTCCTTAAACAACCGAGAATTCAAAGTGTGAGAGCAGTGGAAGCTGCAATCGGGGAGAACATTTTTCATTTTGGTCTTGTGCCATTATTCTCTTCACCTTCGCATGTTAAAATATTTTGAGTTTCTAATCCATTGGCAGAGAATATGCATTCATGATAACTGCAGAATCTCTGAAATGTTTAATTGAGAAGAAAAATAGCTCTTGGCACTGGACAGAAAAGCATTAGGAGATCACAGGTGCTCTGTCCTCGTGGGCTCTGAGCTGACATGGTTCCCACGATGATGTCCTTTACAACCACCTTGGGCTCTCTGTAACCCAAGGCCAGAGTCGGAACGTTGCGGTTCCGGGAAATGTTTACTTGTGGAACAAGTACAGGCTCTGAATAAATGCTGCTGGCGAGGCCTCAGGACGCTGTGTTCCTCGCCCTGACGTGTGTCCTGAGGCCTCGGAGTTGCGAACGCTGGGCTGGCTGCCGAGGTAGAAGGAGACGTGGGTGATGGAAGGTGGCTGCTGAGGCCCCACCCCGTCCACCCCTACAGAAGTCTGGACACTCTCCAGCTGCTGCCCCCGTCCTGCAGGGCCACCTGGGAGGCAGGTGGGACGTGACAGGGTCCCGGCCACCGTGGGGCTGTCATCACCCCTGGTCAGAGTTCAGGGTCTTCAGAACAGGGCCTGGGACGCTTTTCTCTACGGAAACAGCCCTGAAACTAGGGTTAAATTCTACACGAGTTAAGGTCTTATTCTTAGACACCAATAGGACGGCTTCCTGGTTTGGACACATTTAAGTAGCTGAACAGCAGTTTGCTACGAGTCTGGAACCTGAGATCCCCTCACTGTCCAATGAAAACGTGCTCGGACCCTGATTCCACGAGTGGCCTCTGACCTGGCTGTGCACCCGGCCACCGGCAAGCACGTGGGCAGTGGCATTTACCCCCATCCTCCAGGGAGTGGGGTGGGGGTGGGGAACGGCTGACGGCGGGAGAGGCTAAATGCTGCCCAAGCCTCGGGCCCAGCGTTGGGGGGGGCTTCACCATTTGTGCTGCTGTCATGGGGGCCCCGCGAGACCTGCCTCTTGGCCACGCCCATGGGGAAAGGCTGGGCCTTCTCTGTGGGATCCTGTAGAACAAAAGGGGTTCGTGCAGAATGCCCCAGGGGCACAAGTCCACGGGTGGGGGGGGGACAATGGCTGGGAAGGGTCAGCACAGCCCTGGCCTGGCTGCCCGCCCAGGTGTGTCCCAGGACCATTGCTGTTGCTTCCACCTGTGTAGGGAGAGCAGGGGGCCCAGAAGCGGTCCCTGAGGAGGGGGTCAAAGAGGCTGGCTCTCGTCAGAATGGCGGGGCCCTTGGCCACATCACATCATTTCTCTAAACCTCAGTTTCTCCATCTGTAAAGTGGGTTGTCACCCAGACTAAATGAGATGAGGGGTGGGCAAATGCGGGGGCATCGGTCAACAAGCACAAACCTGCAGTGATAAGATGAATAGGCTCTGTGTCTCACCAAAAGCAAACTGAGGGGCTTCCCTGGTAGCATAGTGGTTAAGGATCCGCCTGTCAATGCAGGGGACACGGGTTCAAGCCCTGGTCCTGGAAGATCCCACATGCTGCGGAGCAACTAAGCCTGTGCGCCACAACTACTGAAGACCTCGCACATAGAGCCCATGCTCCACAACAAGAGAAGCCACCGCCATGAGGAGCCCGTGCGCCGCAGTGAAGAGTAGCCCCCGTTTGCCGCAACTAGCAAAAGCCCGCGCCCAGCAACAAAGACCCAACGCAGCCAAAAATAAATAAATAAATTTATATATATATATATATATATATATATATATATATATATATATAAAAGCAAAGGGAATCTGTGAGGCGATGGACTGGGGGATCATCTCATATTGTATACATGTGAGAACATCACATCGTGTACGTTAAATATATACCACGTCCATCAGTAAGAGGCACATGACGCAGGGCTCAGAGCTGCACCACCATGATTACCCTCACTGACCACTGGTGACAGGTCACTTGTCATCCAGTTAGAGGGATACCAGCTAAAATACAATGAACTTCCTTTCCTAGGTTTACTAATTTAGTAGGAAAAGAACAGGCTTTAAATTGTAACTCTTAGTAAGGAGAGCAAAGAAAGCCCCTCCGTTACCCAAGAAAAGTGATGGGACAGCCACATCCCTAAGGGCCTCACTTGGGGGCAGGACCCAGGGACAGCGGAGGTGAGGTGGCATGGGCGGGGGGCAGGAGATGGGCCTCGGCGGCACAGACACGGTCTGCCCGCACCGTGTGGGCTCAGGCGTCGGGGGCAGGCACTCCCCAGGGCCTCACACCCGTCGTCAGGGAGCACGTCTGAAACAGCCCGGCTCCCGGCTCCCAAGGCCCTTACCCGTCCACACGGGGTCACAGGGCGAGCGATGGGCTTCAAGGGGAGACACTGACCTGAATTCCCGGTGGCAAACAAAACAGACCCCACCACGGGGCACGGCCGGGTGCGGGTGCCGGGCTGAGGGTGCCCACCGCTTAAAGGACCGCATTCCCGGAGAAAGGTTCTCCTCACAGTATGCCTGCCCCACACCGAGTCTCCACCACGGCCTGAGAGAGGCACCAGCGGCCAGCTGAGCCTGGGCAGCCCACACCAGCAACGCGGGCTCTAAGTCTGCAGACATGCTCCAAGTTTGGTTCCATCCCCGCTGCCGGGTCAGGGCTAAGAGAACAACCACGTGGCTTCTCGACAGCCCACGGGTGGCAACACCCTAAAGGGAACAAAGAAACCCTCATGGCAGAAGGGACACTGGCTAAGCTCAGTTCGGCAGGTAGAGCCACTCTCGGTGTCACCTTCCAGATACACCACAGCAGGTGGAGAAAACCAGCCTTTCCCAGCTCCAAGACTACGGAACCAGCACATAATTCCAAAGGCTGGGTGGCTGAACTGAAACCAGGGACCTCACTGGCGGGATTTGGCCAGAAGTGAAAGAACACCTGAGTTAGGCTTGGAGCAGCAAATGGTCGCGGTTTACCAGGCACCTCGGAAAAACGACCAGAAAGGGAGGCCCGCGCAGCCCTTACCTTGCTCTCAGCCTCGGGGTCATTGTAGCCGCACGCGTCCATGAAATCCGGGAACGTCTCTGACCACCCGTCCCTGGTGCAGTTCTTGCTTATGTTTCCTGGAAGGTAAAGGCTAGGTGTCTGATCTGCACGTCAGGACTGGCCTGGTGGCCAGGGCCCCCGCCTGCACCTACGCTGGCTTGAGAGGCTCCCTCTCCCTCGGGGCTGGCTAGGGGCCCGGGCCTGAACCCGGGGCACCTGCTCAGGGTGCGTCCCCCTCTTTGGCATCCTCGCCCACGAAGCCTGGGCAGCGGCCCCTGCATCCCCGGGGCCTCGGCGGCTGGAGGGAGCGGATTCGGCGCCAAAGCACGGGCGCAATGTCCGGGGCAATTATGATGGGACAGAGGTGCCGGTGTGTTCTACTCACTACGGAGCGGGGTGGAAGCGAACAGGCTGTTCCGTCCACTGAGAGGCGTCGTGGGCAGACCCTGGCCGTTCTGCCCTGCTCTGCCCTGCGCTTTCCTGCTCCCCTGGGCCAGTCCTCACCTCGCGGCCCCGAGGCACAGTGACCAGAGCAGCCAGGGCAGGCACCACTGGCCGCTGTGGTTGCAGGAAAGGCCGTGGACGTCAGGTTCGCGTGGCATGAAATAGACAGCTTTGATTTTACAGCCCCACTGTTTGCTCCTAGGAACCTAACGTGCACGTCAGACTCAGCAATGCAGGGTCCCGTGCACAGGAAGAGGCGTCTTTAGCAGATGACACACAGGGTGGTGAGGGGAAGGGGATGGACCTGCTGGGTGGGCTTCGGGAGCTCGGACCCAGGCTGGCGCGGCGACTTTGGCCCTGCTGTCTCTGCTTCCTGCTGGGACCACAGGCCCAGGGCTTTCAGAATAGCAAACGTTTCCTCACACCATCTCTTTTTATTTGCACACTTGGTGGCATCACTGTTCCCATTTTATAGATGGAAAAGTGAGGCTCTGAGGGTCAGTAACAACTGAGTTTTGTGCTTAAAAATCCCTCATTTCTTCTACCCCAGGGCAGCGCAGCGGTTCACCTGCTCTGGCTGATGAATCAGGTGGGACCAAGAGTGCGGTGCGTCCGCCCTGGGGAGGAGATAAGCATAAGCCACTCTGCTCCCCGTGGGGAGAGAGGCCGGGGGAGTCCAGACCCCAACCCGCTGGAGAGGAAGTGGGTTGGGTCGGCTTCAGCAAAGCCCCTGGAAAAGAGCACCTGGGCTCTCCCGGCCCAGCCTCACTCCAACACCGCCGTCCCCTGGGTCCTCCGATTCCAGACCCGAAACCTCCTGCTCCAGCTCCCGGGGGGCCTGAGGGCAGCTCGGGCACAGGGACTGCAGTGCTGTGGGCCAGACAGAGACCTGAAAGGGGCAAGGTTGCTGAGGTCTGGCTCCCCTGCCCCACGTTACAGAAGGGAGACCGAGGCCCACAGAAGGGAATGACCTGCCCGTCAGAGTCGGGAACAAGAAAGGACAAGAACAACAGTGGTGTCGGCAGCGTAGGGCTCACCGGCTCCTCCCGGCTCTTCCGTATTTAATTCATGCAATCCTGACAGCTACATGAGGAGGCCCTTTGATGATCCCATTTTACAGGTGAGAAACCTGAGGCTTAAAGAAGCTGGGTCACCTGCCCAAAGCTACCAGATTACAAGCTAGGTGCCCATTTCAGACCTGGGCAGTCAGCTCCTCACCTGCACAGCACACCTGCTACCTACCTGCTCCTGGGACCTGTACCCTAAGCTCTGTGGAAGGGCAAGGAGTGCTGAGCTAGCCATTCCTCACTTATAATACGGCAAACACTAAAGACGACATTTCAATAAACCTCATCCTACGAAGTCGAGATTCGCCCACAGGGCTGTCATCTTGCCTCTGGCTTCACACTCCTCAGTGGAACCTTGGGCAAAAGTGGACGGTGGGCTTCCAGGAAATGCCTGAGATGGTCAAGTAAAGAGAGGGGCTGGGGAGGTGATGGAGGGGTCAGGGAGGTGAGATGAGAGAGGGGCAGGGAGGTGAGGGATGGGTCACGGATGTGAGAGAGGCATCGGGGGAGAGAGATGGACAAAGGGGTGAGAGCGGGGCCAAGGAGCTCAGGGAGAAGGGTGTGGGAGGTGAGGGAGAGAGGGCGGGGGGTGAGGGCAGGGAAGTGAGGGGAAGCTCAGGGAGAGGGTGAGGGGAGGTGAGAGAGGGACCTGAGAACGAAAGTGGGGCACAGCTTAGGACTCAGAAGTCTGGTCACCTGTTGTGAGGACCCCCGCAATCTCCATGCCTCTCCCCACTGTGTCCCCAATTTAGCTGCAGTGTTGGGGCCTCAGCACAGTGGTGTAGGTAGCCCCAGCCCAGCTCCCTAAAGCTGATTGCACACTCCTGTCCTCAGTCCTTAAGTGCGTGTTTGAGTGTGACTGTCCTGAAAAGGCCACAGTCACACGTCTGGCCCTGAGCACGGCCACCTGGGCTCAGACCCTGTCAGGAGGGTCCTGGCTTGGGCCGAGACAGGAGTGATGGGCAGGCTCCAGGTTGTGGCCGGTCCACCAGATGTGCTCCCATGGCGGGCCAGGGCCCTCGCAGCCCTCTGGGGACTGGCCACGTGGCTTCTGGAGAAGACGGGGAGCAGAACTCAGAACTGGGCTGCCTGGCCGAGGGCACGGGCTCCTGGCTGTGTCGTTGCTGGACGCAGAGCATAGGCGCCTTCTCCCCAGCTGAGAGAACACTAATACTTGACGGCATCCATGATGCCCTAAGGTTCCAATTCCTCAGAATAAACCTCCGAGTCCTGGAACCTGGCCCTCCTCCACCTGATGGTTTGCTACTGTCCCTTGCAAAGACCTGCTCTCGGAACTGTGCCCAGTCCCCCAGCTCTCCCCTCCCACAGAAGTAGAGTCTCCCACCCGCCTGTTCACACCCCCTTTCCTAGCCCGGCTCAGGGGCCTCGCGTGGGCCCCAGGGCTCACCCGCACAGGGACAGCAGAGCAACGTGCTGGTTGCCATGACAACACGCACTGATGTGTAGAGACACCCCCCAATTTCCCACTTACAACTTTTTATAAAAAACGGGTCTATTTCTCGAACATCTGGGTTTCCTGGGCCTGTGTGCAGAGCAAGCCCTGGAAGGAGGGGTCGGCGCATCTCGGTCAGCACCTTCTGAGGCTGGAAGCTATGCGACTGCAGGTGTTCAGGTGACAGGGGGCCGGGTCAAGGGTGGGGCTGAGAACCCAGAGAGTCGGTCCAGGAAAGGAGAGGATTCCCGTGAAGCAGAACGTGCGTTCCCGGCCGAGAAGGGACACCCTGGAGGACGCTCTCTGGGGGTTACGGGTGCCCAAGTGCGGCAGGTGTTTCTATTCTCTCCCTGCCTGGTGCTGCGGCCCCTCGCCTGCGCTGGGCGCCTGTGTCTGGCTCCTGCCCAGGGTCTCCTGTCCGCCCCACCGTGTGTGCTGTAGGGTGGACGACCTGGCAGGAAGCCTTCTGTGCTCCCAGTCTCTAAGGCCAGCTCAGCACAGCTGCTCCCTGACTCACTGGGCCAAGGAAACTGACGCCCTGCTTCTTGTGCCTCCATGGAGAAGCCGGCCCCTCGTATGCACCCCTCCCCCCGGCACGGCTCAGAAACAACACAGACGACAGTACCTGGTTTGCTATAAAAGTTGCTGAACAGTTTTGGACAGGGCACCGTGACAGTCTCGCCGACATCCGCGGGGAGCCAGCACGTGATGTTGTCCCAGACGCCGCTGCAGGCTGGAGGGGAGACGGGGGTGAGCAGGGCCCTCTGCCCAGCACAAGGGCAGCACCCTCAGGCCACGTGTGGGGTGCCCAGGGTGGTGGCGCCGGATCTGCTCAGAAGCTTTTCAAATAGAAAGCCTGTTAATTAGATAATTGTCTTGCAAATTATTTTTTCTGTGAAACTCACACCACGATATTATTGAGAATATACTTGGCATGGGTTCATTGTAATCAGCTTTGGAGGAATAAGCAGATCTGCGGTAGAACGTTTCTGAGGAACCCAGCATGCACTGCGCACTTTCGAATTGTAGTAGAATCATTACTTTTTCCTGCTGAAGTGCTTCCCGCCCACCCCCCATGTGATAAAATGGGCAACACTGAGTATTGTGTAAGTCTTGGAGGTTAGGGTCCCCTAGATGCACATATACTTGTGCGTTTATGGATTCTGACTTCAAGGACAATTTGCAAATTTAAATATTTGAAAAGATTTAGTTGATTTCAGCAGTCAAGACGACATATTAGCGGTGAAATCTTAGGTTACCCTCATGGAGTTATCAAAACTTAATTTGCATTATGTTATAGCTTAAAACACTTTTCAGATCTCTTATTTGGTTTAATAACCACCCCACGACAGTAATTCACACCAACACTGTATTAATCGTCTCACTGACAAAGAGCACTGAGGTCTGAATGGTCCAGGGGCCTCTCAACATTAAACAGACAGTAAGTGAACCCAGGAAATTTTTATCACAAGTCCAAGGTGTTTCTACTGTATTTTGTGACCTCTAAACTTTTATACTTCATTTAAACTTCAGTATTGGAGGAGCAGGGTGCTAGCCTCAATTAAAACAAAGAAAGAAACGACAGTTCTGCTCTCTGACACGCCACCCACACCTGTACGATAACTGCGCAAACACATCAATGGAGTTATGCATTTTTGGTTTGACCACGGGAATGTTTTACTTCTAAGAACAGAGGTAATGAAAAGTTGGCTACAAACCAAGTTTTGCAAAAAAAGAGATGAAAATAGGGACTTCCCTGGTGGTCCAGTGGTTAAGACTCCGCACTTCCACTGCAGGGGGATTGGGTTCGTTTCCTGGTTGGGGAACTAAGATCCTGCATGCCGCGCGGTGCGGCTAAAAACACAAACAAAAAAACCATGAAAATACTTTCTAAAGGCTTTTTAAAATAAAATGAAAATACATTCATCCTAAAAACTGAATTACCTACCGAAGATTGAGTACATAAATTCATACTATATTAACATTCTTACATATTTAAAGAAAACGTTGCTTTTTGAAAAATTACTTAGGACACATCATCAAGGACAAAGACATCACTAGAAACACACCTCCGGCCGGTGGGCAGTGCAGCCTGCAGACCTGGGAGTGTATGGATGAGCAGGGTGGTAAGGAGGGATGTGCCTACGCGATGAGGGCAAGAGACAGACATCTGGGGACATATGAGCTTCTCGCTCCATTTCCCAAGTCTCATGAAAATGGCAGTTGAGAAATTTGAAATGGCAGTTCCTAGAGATGTCATAAAACTGAAGACAGACAGCATGTATGTGTGTTAAAGATTCAGATGGAGCAAAGGGGGCGGCAGCCCAGCCCGCAGGAGGTGAGCAATGGGGGTGCCCTTAAAGGGCACAGGTGGCCTACGTTTGGGAGAATCACATCGAGTTTGAATTCTGAACTCTGAGAACTCCAGACTTCCCTGCCCTGCTGGGTGTTTCTGGAAGCTCTGCTGGAGGAGCACCAGGGAGCCCTGGACCAACCAGGCCGCCTGGCATGGGATGGAGGGCACAGGAGTGGCTCCGAGAACAGCAGTTGGTGACCACCCTGTGTACTAGATCATCGCGAGAGTGTCTTGCCATTGTTCTGGTACAAAGTTTGATGCTAATTATTGATAGAGAGGTGGAAAACTAACTTATAGTTCCAGGAATGACATAGAGCTACACCGGAAAGGAGCCTGGGGCTGTTACAGGGTCAACTGTGGTCATCATAACGTAAACCACAACCGTGAAGGGACTCGGCAGGCGGGGCGGCGGGGGGGCGCAGCTTGGAGAAAGGGGAGAGAGCCGCCAGGCAGGGGTGACTCCCAGCAGAGTTCAGCTGGACCCAAGACAAACTGGGGAGAGGAGTCTTGTTTGAAAAGTGCTGAATAGCCCAGACTGCATGAGAAAAAGTGGCGTGGGTGAGGCAAGCAGGGTCTGCGTGAGAATTTATTTTTGTTACACTCTCGTAGCAACCTAGATATTTGAGATGGTGATAATAAAATCAAGGCTCAGTCTGAAAAGAGGAAAATTTTGTTCACATCAATAGACTGAAAAGTTACTTGACGAAATTCAGCAGCCATTGCTAATTTTTAAAAGCTCTAAATAGAATAACGAAATACTGAGACTGCCTTAACGTAGCAAAGACCATTTGTTAAAAGAAGTAGCTATTATTAGAAACGGTTAAGCACAGTGTACAACCCAAACCAGGACCCTACTGGGCACTTGCTGTCACCATCATGCTTCAACGATACATTAGCGCTTTAGCTAAAACAATAGATAAAATGAACTGAACGGATTCGCTAAAATAAAGAAGAGAAAAAACCCCAGAACTGCACTTCGCAACGTGGTTACCACATGTGACCGTTTAAGCCTAAATCGACTGAAATTAAATGCAATTGAAAATTCAGCTCCTCAGCTGCAGTGGCCACACTTCTAATGCTCAGTAGCCACATGTGGCTGGTGGCTCTCATCTCACAGCTCAGACACACATTTCCATCATCCCAGGACAGCGTCACCCTCGAGCTGTAGCTAAAACGAGCAAAAAATAAAACTAAAAAGCCACTCCTACAAACTATCAAGAAACAAAGCAAAGAGAGAAAATAACAAACCCATCATTACTGTACATAAACTATTGCTGGGGGTAAATTAGCCCAAACAGATGCAACTTTCTTCAGGTCATGGTTTTTCAACTAAAAATGGCCATATAAATTACCTGAAATATTTTATGAATAAATTATAAATGAGAATGAGAATTTTTTGGTAAAAATTTATTTATCACTTATCACACAAATCTTCTCCGTCTTTCAAAACCCAAAACAAGGAGGAGGAGGTCTCTTATCCAAAGTGGGGGTCAGTGGCTTGCGGAACTGAAAAGCACGGTAGGTGCTTAATACCTTAAGTATCTTCCATTGATTGAAACACAAAGTGTGTTTCTATTACTTCAACATAGAACACACAGCCAAAGTCTTTCCTTTGCGAGTGGGCTTATTGACTGGGCTCCTCTTTGCTTTTCTTGTGTAAATCATACTCTGACCTGTCCTTGGTGATGTCCAACTTCAGAGCACTGAAAGTGGGCTGACTTAGGCTCCCGCAAAGCTAGGTTTCCAGACTCGATCCTAGCCGTCATGCTCACCTCCAACCCTACGGCTGCTTAGCAACTCAATTTGTTAGTTTTTCCAAAGCACACAAATTGATTTTCCCAGAAACAAGTGCTTTTTTTTGTACTCCTCAGCTTCCATACTGTTTAATTTAGCACCTGGGTGAGTAACAGACTCGGGAGGCACTGACGCGTTGTAAACTTGGCAAAGTGTCCCAGAAGCTGCAGAGAGGAGGTGGCGGAGGAGCCCCGACCAGGGAGGAGCCCCGACCAGGGCCTGACCGAGGTGCCTCCGTGAACCAACTGCCAGGCTTCGCAGGAAAAGCGCGCACAGGAGCCCAGCGTAAACCGGCGGGGGTGGCTTCCTAAGTTCCTCTTGGGAGGGCAGCTTAGTCCCCTGAAAGGAACATTCTAGATCAAGAGGTTCAGAAAAACTGGTCTTATGCACGGTGCAGCCTCCAGAAATTTCTTAAACTTCACGGCAACTTGAACGGAACATACTCGGGACATGGATGAGTTGTGCTCAGGAAAGGCTGCTATTAGAACACGTGCCTGTGTTCTGGAACTCAGAGGAGACAGCTGCAGTTCACCTGGCCCGAAGCAGTCTTTTTTTTTTTTTTTTGCGGTACGTGGGCCTCTCACTGCTGTGGCCTCTCCCGTTGCAGAGCACAAGCTCCGGACGCGCAGGCTCAGCGGCCATGGCTCATGAGCCCAGCCGCTCCGCGGCATGTGGGATCCTCCCGGACCGGGGCACGAACCCGTGTCCTCTGCATCGGCAGGCAGACTCTCAACCACTGCGCCACCAGGGAAGCCCCTGAAGCAGTCTTATGAAGGGGGAGGAACCGACCACCATGGAAAAGAAACTTGTACCCGAAAAACCAACTCTCTCTCCAAAATATCCCCGGGCAAGTCATACTCTCACAGATGATGGTACACGTGTTGTTTTCAGTCCCGGATTTATTTTCTCATTATTTCAACGATATAAACAGCAATTCGTTTTCAAGAAAATCAGGTGAGTCACTACTTAGGTGTTACACTTCGTCTAGGGCAGAGCTTTTACAAACACTGTGTTTCCTGCTCATGGGTTCGCAGAGCAAGGTTGGGGCCAGAACCCGTCTTGCTGTCACTGCCCTTTCCCTGAAGACCACTGTCCCCACTGGCCCTCTGGGACCTCCTGGCACCTGGGGAGATGTGCTCCTACCACTCCAGTCTTCCACGTTCAAGGTGTTTTATGACGAAAGCCCTGGACACAGAGCCAGAGGCATGAACCGAGTCCAGGTGCGCAAGCAGACTAAGACGGCTCTGAGCACTCGTCCAGCGAATGCAGGGCTAATGTCTCAGGCGAGGCTGTGACCACGACTGACGTGGTCTCCCGCCCTCTCTGGGTGAGGCTCCTGGGGCATCCCCAGCAGTGGCCGTGCTCCTATCTGTCCACATTTTTACCAAGAGAGAAATCCAGTCCCCTACCAGCACCGACGCACAGAGAGAGACAGCACAGCAGTGGGACAGCGGAGGTACCCAGGCAGGCTTGACTCTCGACGGTGGCCACAGTGTGATGGAGGTGCTTCCCACCGTGACCAGGAGCTCCAGGGAGGGGTCTCCGCTCCTGCGGCCCGGCCTGTGAGGAGAGGGTGGACGGAC